GTTTTAAAAATTAAGCAGAATATAACGCTCGTTCATGGAGTGTCTTTGTTTAACCCTACGTCTTAGAATGTTGTGGACGCAGCACGTTGTGTTTGCCACAAGCCACTTGCGGAATCTCTAGATGGAGCCCTCAAAGACAATTTTCCTGAAAAAGCAAAAGATGACCTCAAAATCATTGACGTGGGAGCAGGGACAGGATTAATAGGAATAGAACTTCAAAAACTTGGTTACAGTAATCTTCACGCGTTGGACATCTCACCTGAAATGTTAAGAGAAGCAAAGAAAAGAGATATTTACAAAAGTTTTTTTTGCGTCGTATTAAGTGACCAACAGATTCCTGAGATACAAACAGGAGAGTTTGACGCTCTTATTTGTGCTGGTAGTCTCCTTGTGGGGCATATCAGGGCAGCTGCTTCTGAAGAAATGGTCAGGATGGTAAAAAATGGTAAGATTGTTGTCATTGTTTTTTTCTTAGTGTACAGTTTGTCATAAAAAGGAGTGTCAATCAATTCTTAACTACCTAAGTGGCGATAATGTTAATAATAATAATGATGATGATGATGATGATGATGACACTGGATAAGTTTTATCTTGACAACAGGGGGAGGGTTTAGGAAAACAGACAATTCTTTTTCAGGGATTAAAGACTGTTTCCTTTGCCCCATTCTCGCGACATGAGTATCATTACATTTTATACCAATAAGTATCACTGTAGTTTTGAATTGTCAGATTTTGTTGTTGTTGTTCATAGGTGGTATAATCTGCTTCAACATGCGGGATGGCCAGCTGGATGACTACCGGGAGAAAATACAGGAACTAGAGAGAACGGGACGATGGGGAGAAATCTCTAAGAACGCAGTGTCTTTTTTCGAAACTGAGGAAATGCCCAGAGAAACTTACGCTTTCTTGTTTAGAGTTTTGAGGAAGTAACGCCAACATTCAAGGTTGTCATTAGTAGTGGTGGCGCCAACATTAGAGACCTCTAGACTCGAGGACGAGAACGACAACGAGGACAAGATTTAACTTAAGGTTTTTTCAACTGTTCTTAAAAAAATAAACACCGCGGAAACTTGATTGTACTTACAAGAAAAGTTAAGTCAATTCCATGCAGTAAACTAAAAATTGCTCAATAGCATATTTGATTTCACTTTCAATTTCCCCGAAAATTCCCTGATAAGGCAACGCTTTAAGAGGACAAGACGCATAACTGCGTGAGCTCGTGCAAATGCTTTGCCAATCAAATACGGATGGATCAAGAAAAGTTACCATATGA